AACAACAACAACAACAACAACAACAACAACAACAACAACAACAACAATCTATATATAGATACATCATTGGCACTGGTCGCACCAAAATAGATGCGACATTTTATACCCCTCATACCTTGTGTCCGCCAAGGGTTGAAGATTCTTCCCTTGCTGAGTGCTGGCAGTCGTCTATATCCATCTCCTTATCCACCTATTTATCAAGTCTTCTAGATGTGTAGCAAGCAAGCGGACGTGGGGAGACTTATATAGCCTGGGTGGTTTGCTCGAGGTGATGAGTACCCTTAATCCTGAACTGGATGGTCGGATCATTCCATGCTTATGCCCTAAGGATCCAAGTACCTTCTCAGGAGGCACTTGGACCCTCAAAACCCACATAAGAGTGTCGAACACATCACCGTACCTGAGAAGGTACGACTGGACCCCTAGGGATGATGGCCATGGGCACACTCATCTAAATGTATTTAATCATAATGACCAGGAGTCACAATTTCCCGGCTGCCGAAGGAACGGAGGAAGGAGGTGCCCGGTGCCCCGTCGTCACATCCACTCCTGGTATACTAACTTTAACCTATCCCTATGGATCCACATACCTTCTGAGGTACGGTGATTGGAGACTATTTATGCAGGCTTGGAGAGCCCACATGCCTTCTGAGGTTCGGTATGTGGATCCATAGGGTATTCCATTTCCCCTGGTTTTTTCTGGTCCAACTCTCGCACCCGACGAGACCCGGACCCATCGACGCACCGTTCGACCGCGCCAGGCCGGGAATGAGTACATCCTCCTGTCATGGACCGAGAACCCAATCCAATACAGGCGCGGTATCACCCTGCGGTCGACCACGCTGCTCCGGCGCGGGCGAAGCGGCGAAGCTCGAAAGCAGCTCGGGCGGTTGGGGGGTTCGCCAGGCGACTTCCGGGCACCTGGTTCGTTCTTTGGAATTCACTGATTCAAGGGGGGGGACGGTGGCAACCAAAAGCCAGGGAGGTTTTCTCAAACAATCAGCGTTGACAGAAGTGGAGCGGTGGTTTTCCTCCAAGCAACCTGCAGCAGTCGGCATTTTGCGCGGCCAAGTCAAGTGTACGAATTGAGGGGTCACTCCCATGTGCAACCGCAGCAGAAAAAACACCACCTGCACATGGTGTCTCAGTTTGTACCGCAGAGAATGGGAACTGTTGTTATACCTGTCTTTTTTGGTTTAAGGAAAAGAGTCAATGTCCCATTCTCGGTAATTGAAGTCAGGTCCAGCCAGTACTTTGGCTGCTGAAGCTGGTACGTGCCTAGTTCACCAGACCTGACCAGGTTGTCCCCAGGGCCTCACCACTTGCAGGATCAGTGGTACCACTCATGCCAGGCTGGCTGACAGGCCTCACCAGACATGAACTCTTTGGGATCTCTCTACTCTACAAGGTTCTTCTGTTCTTCTCTTTTGGGGGGGTACCTGCTGGGTGGTGTACGGATGGGGGTGTGTGCCCGCCGGCAGGGACAATTTGTGGTATGGCAGCTGGAAGTTGTTCAGCGTCTTCGCTGGAGTGTGACCCAAAAGGGGTCCATCGGGTGGAGCGTTTTTCGCGCGCGAGCGCGCGTGCGTGCTATGTGCGTGCTATGTGCTGTGCTGTGGCTGCATATATGTGAGCAGGCTGCTGCAGTGTTGGGGTTGTTTGAGAATGCCTGTCAAGTGTGTCAAGATCTTAAAGCGTGGTTGGTGTGAACGTGTGTGAAGGACAAGCCAAGAAGTCCAGAAGGCCCAGTGATATTGATGGCTTCAGAAGTTCTACCAAACGCATGCCGATTTCAACATGAGAATCAAAGATCACTTTGTGGATTTTGTGGTGACTCACATGAAGGGCGACAGACCATCTTTCCTTCAACCTCATCCCATCCTTTTTGGTAACCGAGCGGGACATGAACATGCCTTGGTTTACCTTGGTTTTCCGGATGGAGTGGTGTTTCTTTTCCCGAACTGGGTGAATCCTTTGACATGTGCCATTATGATAGATTGTGTTTTGCCGGCTTCCGTAATTCCAGCAAATCCAAGTATATAATTGTAAACGCATAGGGTCTGTGTTTCATGACTCGGTTTGCACGTTCATCACTGCGAAGATTGAAGGCCGCACTACTGCCCATCATCCATTGTCGCTGGTCGGATATCCCCGAGATATAGATACCTAAACAAGGCTTTGAGAAACCAACTCCACAGAGCGTATGGACCTTTCCTCTTTTTCCCGCATAAACGTTGAAGAGCTGTTGTGCCGCTTAGCCATGTTGGATGTTTATTCTCACCAATAATCCATGTATGGAATGTGTACCTACATTGACCCTTTCAACTTAAAGCATCTTAAAACCACCCAAAGCCAAATATTTGATACCTATATTGTTTGTGTATGAAACATTCTTCGGGTGGGGAGGTACTTGATCATCTCGGCGATGGTGGGCTTCGTCATCTTCCCCATTCTGAAAGGCGAGGCCATGAAGGGAACGGGAGCTTCATGTTGCATATTGATATCATATCCATACCCAGACCATTCATGGGACTAGCATATTTACCTACATTGACCCCAGGTCAACCACCCCTGGCCTGATCGGTAAATATGCCAGTCCCATGGATGGTCTGGGTATGGATATGACCAGGAGCTGCCACAAGTGTTTGAAACCTTCTAAACCATGAGACTCTCCATAAACAGTATGAGATTCAGACATGTCACATTTTCTTTTAAGAAAGAAACAACATCCAGCAGTCACAAAGGGGGGCTTAATGGAGGTTAGGGGTGCCCCTGTCACATCCACTCACTGGATGGGACGTTTCACACCACCCCTGGCCCTTTGTGACTCCTGGATGATGGAGATGTCGGACATCTTGTTTCAGTCCTAGGTCCCAGACCCTCGGATTGACCCAGCCCTGAGCTCCCATGCCAGGCTCCTGAGTCGAGCGACCCGGCGGAGTTGCGCACCGCGGAGTGACCGGTGACCCGAAGGTCCGTCCTGGCGACAGCCATGTGTGAACTGCATGTTGTGAGTTTGATATCGTTTGATGTCTTTATGAAGACATTGAATGCCTTCGAGTGAAGTAAAGATGATGAGCAGAGTGCGCACCTTCAAGGTAGACCGAGACAAACAGTCGGACAACGACGTCTTTTCGATTGCGCGTTCACGAGACGTTCCCATGTTTGGTTCGAAGCACACCACGGTCGGTCAGACCGGTCCGAGCGATTGTCGAGCGATTCTCGAGCGACTCGACCTCCCGATGTTTCATCAGGGCTGCGACACTGTGAGGCTGCGCAGCGTTAAAAGCCGGTTCAACACAGTCTCCAATATTGGAAGTCATTACTCGTTTTGGTGAAGTATACCACGGAAGCGGGGTGAGTATACCATCAACCTCACAGCGGCGTTGTTTGTGGAGAAAAAAGGTTCGCAGACGGCGCGTTCTTGCGCCCTGCGGCAATCAGAGGGTTTGGCTGAAAGATCCTCCTTCGTCTCCTGGAGAAGTGCTGTTTTCGTTTGTTTGATCGGCAGGGGAGACCACAAAGTCGAAATGGATTCTAATATAAGGTAGACTTGAGTTAGATAACCTGCAGATTCAAATGGTTCTCTATGATAAGGTATGATAAGACATGAGTTAGACTTGAGTTACCCTGCTAGTTGAAAGGTTCTTGCTCCGTACTCTGGCCGATGTCTTGTTCCATGGTCATGGACCACCTATAGACGCATCAACAGATCGAGAGACGGCGGACCCAAGCCTCAACTGCTGGTTGTTGGAAGCTACCCGTTCATATTCATTGCATGTCCGTTTTACCAGAAGTGTGCTCATTCCACTGTAAAACAATGAAGGAAGAACACCATAATCCCAGAGTGAAGCACAAGGGTTCAGTGTGTTTTCGTATGGACCGGTCGACACTCTTTCCCGAAAAAGAACGGTCTTAGCAACAGGAAAACGACAACGACAACGGATCGAGCCCACGGCGAGCGAAGCGGCGTGCCACCGTTCACCGTTCCGACCGTTGACCGTGGAATGCCCGGGAATGAATGGTGCGAACGTGTGTTCATGTCTGCCAGGTTCCAGACACCACTTGCGTGCAGTGCGCTGTATACTACACATGTTCGAGTTAGTCAAAGCACTGTAAAACGAGAAAGAATAAAAAACAACAATAACGTCAAAAACCCGGTATAGGGAAATATATTATATATAATATGATATACCAGCACCTTCCAACAGGTCTTCTTTGGAGGGCCGCTAGGCCCTAACAGGTTTCAATTGGTGACCTGAGACCTGTTGGAGGTGCTGGTAGATGTTCTATTCTTTTAACAATCACCTTCTGATAAGGTACTTCGATCCTTAGGGTGTGTATATGAACCTCACCCACCAGATGTTATACAGAATATACAGAATATATTATCTTTCTGATATACAGATGTTCTTTGCCTTTTACAACCTCACCTGCCAGTTGAGGACTTCAAAAGACCTCCCTCCGTCGTGTGCCAACAGTCGAACAGAACCGTGTTGCTGCCCCGCCACCACCGTACCGGAGCATGTGGTGTACCGGTTGGTCAGTACGTACCCAGATGAGGGACCCATGTAGCTGAAAGCAAGGCAACCTGCAAAAGGTCAAAAAGCTTGGACTGTACACTAATTAGTGTATCGTTTCTAGCTTCACTCTTGGGTGAAGCTGGTTCAAGTTTGTATTGGGGTGTATCACAATAGGGACTCCTGCCACTCGATCTTAGTTTGTTTTTTGTCTTAGGACTGTGTCTTTGTGTGGACCCCTAGTCTAATATTTTTTTAGACTCCAATACGCATACTGTTTACAGTCTAATACGTATCCATATAGTTTGCTTCGCACAGGATGGCTTTGCTGCCCTGCTTGGCTCAGCCCGCAGACTGAACCCTTGTTTCACTGATCCATGAAAAGATGCAACATTGTGTTTTCGGGTGGGGCTTTTGCCAACATGTGTTTTGCAGCTCGCAGAAGACAACTTATAGTGGCTAAACTGTTCCGTCAGCCCTGTCCAGCAAATCCTTGTGATTGGCAGAGTCATTGACCACTAGTTTAGAGGCTATGCGGCTATACTAGGCTGTGCCTATCCTCGTCCAAACTATTGGCACAAGCTACTAGACAGAATCAAGAGCTTCCCTGAGCTCCTTATTTCCGTCACAGTTTCGGTGGCGAAGGTGCAGGGCTGAGTTTCTCAGTGCGGTGCCGGGAATACAAACAGACCACACAAATGGACTCTGCATGGACTCTGCATGGACGGTCATCGAAATCGTTTTGGGTTGGGTTCGGGCTCGTTCGAATGGAGGTCCCTTGTACATCGTGCGAAAAGGCCAAGCTCTAAGCCAAACTACTGTACCACTTTGACCTGTTGGGTGAAGCTGCTTGTGTTGCCTATTGAAGGCCGGCCCAGCCCTTTGTGCTCCACAGGTAGAAGCAGTTGCACCACGGTGCATCAATTCAGTCTTTGTTCAGGTCCAGGTCAAGTTTTGCTCCATTGCTGTAGTACCTATGTAAAACATGATGAGGAATGCCCCACAAGGACGCCAAGTACCTCAACAAGAGGAATCAAGAGTGTGTCAAAGTTGGAACCTGGGAAGGTTGTAATAACATGTAATAACCGTTTTTTCCAACCTGGGAAGCGGTCGGCTGCACTTTGCACATGCAAGCGGGATCCAAGCGTCATGTTAGTTGGGATCCGGGGCTTGCAGCGTCCCGAAAGTCATGTTCACCCCGTTTCATCCACTTGAAAGAGTTCCGGCCAATGCTTCCAGTACCAAAAGGATCCCTACCTTTGATGCAAATTGGCAAATCAAGGACGACCCAAGAGACACTTATGAGAACCAGTATCGTTGCTACCACTTAGAACAACGTTTGGAGGGTTCTCTTTTATATATAACTTCTTGACACTTCTTGTGGTACAGGTGATTGACGTCGTCAACCCTTTCCCGTTTTTCTTCGTTCGTTGCAGGTGCACCGCTTTTCTTCGATGGTGCGATGGTTTTGGAGGCAGAGAGAGACCCACCGGTTGGTGCCACGTCTCCACTCAGTTGGTCCCGAACGGGATGGTGCCATGAACGGACTTCCTTCGGTTCAACGAGCTCTGGGCTCACGAGAGAGAGAGAGAGAGAGAGCTATGCCGATGAAGAACACACCGGCCATCACCGGCCTATGTCTGGAGTTCTCCTTCCAGACCTTCCACAAGGTGAACGGTTTCAGTTCCGAAGTCTGTAGCTTTTTGTTTGATCTGCAAATGTCTTAAGAACACATACAACACAAACTGTTCAACAAAAAGAACAGATGAGTGGACCCCTTTTTTGTGACCCCTGGATTACATGTTAGTCTCAACTCTGCTCGGTTTGCAGCGCCACATGCAGGTTCTGTGCACTTCTGCTTCTCAGCCGTGCAGAGGACGCTTCTGCGACTGCCGTCGCGACCTTGGACCGCTTCGGGCGACGATCCGAACCCTGAGTCGAGCTATGCAGCAACAGGTGATTCAAGAACCCCATAGACTATCCCATAGGTGCCCCAGTAGGGTTGCTTCCGGTTCCTGTATTTTAGGTCGCTTGGCTCAACCTCTCTTGGCTCGGCTTGTTCGATCGCTTCTTGGGATTGGAGCATATCGGAGCGACGGCTGTTGAGTCATAGACCTCCCCTCTACCAGAATATTTCCCTACAAGTCAATGACCTCATGAACTACTGGAGTTGGTGATGCAAGTTCACACTATTCAAGAAGGTAAAGGACCAGGACCAGGTTTTACTGGGTCAGACTGGACTTGTAGGGTTTGTTTGCACATGTGTTCACGTCTCCAACCTTACACCCGGGTGGAAGAGGCTCACATGGAACCTGGCGACCCGCATGGACCAAACTGGAAGATTATATGTCTTTACAACCCAGTGGTTTTCAGGTTTCATGTTAACTCGATGTCTTCATTCTGGAAGTTTGAAGCGCCCGTGGGGGTGCAGATGAGAAGTACCCAAATTCTGCTAACCTTTTTTGTGTGTTCCACTGTGTTCCTGCTTGAAATACTCTTGACCGATATTCGAAGACCGTCTGCCGGCAAGAGGGTGATCGTCTACAGAGCTGCCGAACGTCCCGGTACCGATACCGCTAAGGTATCATCCATGATGTGTGTTTTTTTGTTTTTCGGATCTCTTAGCTCCACATAAGAGGCGACCCGGGTGGATTTTACATACGTATGTCATTTGTTCAATACCAAATCAGGGTAAATCAGCATCAGATTGGAAGCACTGGGCGCTCACTGTGCATCAGAGAGTAGATTGTTGATGGATCTTGCAGCCGATCATTTTCTTGAAGCCGTTTTCTCTGCAGCCACGTGTTTTGACCCATTTGCTTTCGGACAAGGCGGAGAAGTCGGAAAGTTGGGCGATGCTGATGTTGCGTCGGCGGGAACTTCAGAAATATTTGCAGACAATCTTTGATCGAAAGGACGTGCAGACACTTCAAAGACCATTCGTGATCAAAAGGACGTTGCGTGGCCTTACATCTCGGAACTTCCGGAACTACTTCGATTTGGCTCAGGGCTTAGGCTCGACTCAGGCCACCCACATGGCTGGTGGCCGAAAACATGGTGTTGAATATGCATGTGAGCCCAGTGTGAGCATCCCACAAATAAGCTATTAAGGCAATCGTTTCAAGCTTGCCATTACTGTAGGTGTGCAAACCTAACAGTCCCACAGGGTGCCACTCCACGCCCACAAAGCTCAAGACTACATACCACATGACCACATACCTCTTCGCGTGTTCACTTTGGAGTTGACTGAGTCGACTGCCTCCACCATCCAGTGGAAGCAGTCGGTTACATACAACGCTGCGCAGAGTTGGGTGATCAGAGCCTTGAAGAAGCGGAAGACAGACGCACAGACATAGTTGGCGTTGCCTGGTGATGAGAAGGATCGAGGTCGAGGCCGAGCAGACGAACCATCAGTATCAGCACCTTCGCTTGACTGTGTGCAGTCCGACCTGCAGTGACGTTGTTGCTGCCCCCGCCGAAAGATCAGCGCCAA